TTCTTGTGATGCCATTCGGTCTCACCAACGCACCAGCCACGTTTTGCACTTTGATGAATCAAGTGTTCGAGCCATTCTTGGACCGGTTTGTCGTGGTATACTTGGATGACATCGTCGTGTATAGCAAAACACTCGACGAGCATGCCGAGCATCTACGCCAAGTCTTCCAAGTCCTTCGCGACAACGAGTTGTACGTCAAGAGGGAGAAGTGCACATTTGCCGCCATGGAGGTTCCATTCTTGGGGCACATTATTGGTGGAGGCAAGTTGAAGATGGATGGAGCAAAGGTGCAGGCAATCCAAGATTGGGAGCCGCCGACGAAGGTGCCAGAGTTGCGGTCATTCCTCGGCCTTGCCAACTACTATCGGAGATTTATCAAGGGCTACTCCAACATTGCAGCACCCTTGACGGATCTCTTGAAGAAGAACAAGGCGTGGGATTGGTCGGAAAGGTGCCAAGAAGCATTCGAGGCCTTGAAGCAAGCGGTGGTGAAGGAGCCCGTGCTCGTGCTCCCCAACCCAACGTTGGCCTACGAAGTGCAGACCGATGCATCCGACTTTGCGATTGGAGGAGTGTTGATGCAAGATGGGCATCCCATTGCCTTCGAGAGTCGGAAGCTTAGCGAGACGGAGAGGCGATACACCGTTCAAGAGAAGGAGATGACGGCCGTGGTGCATTGCTTGCGCACATGGAGGCACTACTTGTTGGGGTCAAAGTTCGTAGTGAAGACGGACAACGTGGCAACGAGCTACTTTCTGACGCAGAAGAAGCTCACCCCCAAGCAAGCAAGGTGGCAAGACTTTTTGGCCGAGTTCGATTTCGTCATGGAGTACAACCCAGGCAAGGCGAACTCCGTTGCCGATGCTCTTAGCCGCAAGAGTGCCGCCGCAAGCGTCAGCCAGCCCATGTTTCCTTTGAAGGAGCGGATCGTTGAAGGCCTTGGCCATGACCCCTTCGCCAAAACCGTAGCGGAGTACATCGAGCAAAGCAAGACTCGACGGTTTTGGATGAAGGATGGGCTCATCATGACCAAGGGAGAGCGGGTGTTCGTGCCAAGGTGGGCCAACTTGAGGAAAGAGATCATGAAGGAGTGCCATGACTCCAAGTGGGCGGGCCATCCCGGCATCGAGAGAACGCAAGCACTAATCGAAGAAGCATACTTTTGGCCGCGTATGAGAGACGACGTGGAGATGTATGTGAAGACTTGTCTTGTGTGCCAACAAGACAAGATGGAGCAGAGAAGCCCGGCAGGCTTGCTAGAGCCCTTGCCCACACCTCAACGACCATGGGAGAGTGTAAGCATGGACTTCATCATCGGACTTCCCAAAGTCGATGGATGCGGTTGCATCATGGTGGTTGTGGACCGGTTCTCGAAGTATGGAGTGTTCGTCCCCGGCCCAAAAGACATGACGGCAGAGGATGCGGCGCGGCTATTCTTCAAGAACGTGGTCAAGTATTGGGGCGTTCCTAGCAACATCGTGAGCGACAGAGATGGGCGCTTCACGGGCAGATTTTGGCGAGAGTTGTTCAAGATCATGGGCTCAGACTTGAACTTCTCGACGGCATTTCATCCTCAAAGCGACGGACAGACGGAGCGGGTGAATGCTTTGTTGGAAGTGTACTTGCGGCACTACGTGAGTGCAAACCAACGAGATTGGGTGAAGTTGATGGATACGGCACAGTTCTCCTACAACTTGCACCGCAGCGAGTCGACCAACGCGAGTCCATTTGAGTTGGCGACGGGGCAGCAACCTTTGACACCTACGACGGTGGCAACGGGGTATAGAGGCAACAGTCCGGCAGCCTACAAGTTCGCTAAAGGCTGGCACGAGAAGATGGAGATGGCCAAGTCTTATTTAGCCCGCGCTAGCAAGAAGATGAAGAAATGGGCGGACAAGAAGAGGCGGCACTTGGAGTTTGAAGAGGGAGACATGGTGATGGTCAAGTTCTTTCCTCATCGCTTCAAGCATCTCAAGAACGTGCACAAGGGACTGCTTCGCCGCTATGAAGGGCCATTCCCCATCGTGAAGAGGATTGGCGCGGTGGCATATAAGGTTAAGTTGCCGACGCACTTGGAGATCCATCCGGTCTTCCATGTGAGCCAACTCAAGCCTTTTCACGAAGACAAGGATGATGAGCAACGAAGAGAGTCGCAACGCGCTCCAACACTCGTCACCAAGACACACGACCATGAAGTTGAAGAAGTCATGGCGCGTCGTGTCATTCCTCGTCGTGGCGTACATCCAAGCTTTGTGGAGTACTTGGTCAAGTGGCGCAACCTTCCAGAAAGTGAAGCAACTTGGGAGAAAGAGCTCACGCTTTGGAAGAACAAGGACTTGATCGAGGCATTCCATCAAGAGGACGCGACGAGGGCGTCGCGAGCATAGGTGGGGGAGGATGTCACATGTGGCCGATGACATGGCGCCAACAAGGTGACAACAAGGCTGCACATGTGTATGGAAGACTAGTAGCATAGAGATGCTCCTAGGATTCTCCACCTAAATGAGAGCTTAATGGTGCACTTATGGGCTACATTATGGTAGCATTGATAGAGTGCATTATGGGGGGACTTTATGGGGTGTATTGATGTAGTAGAGGGACCATTATGAGGGGCATTGATGCCTTGTATGAGGAGAGGCCTATATAAGGAGCCATCTCCCTCACTTGTAACTCATTCCATCATTTTTGAGAGTAATACACACTAGAGAGTTCTCCCAATCCTTTGTCTCTTTGTTCTTGTTCTTTGCTTTCAAGTGAGTTGAGAGAAAGGCTGCCTAGCGCTCTAACGGATTTGAGAGCTAGGGCCGCACGATCTAGAGTAAGGTCGTGACAACAGCCATTGCCATTCTTATAAGCACTCCAAATGTTCTTAAGCCTGGCAATTCCATCCAACAAGTCTGATTCAGGCCGACTCGTTTTGAAGCAGGTCTGATCCAACCCGTTTCCCCTATGGAACCGGATAAACAAGTCAGAGCGGACCCGAGAGATACAAACTCCAACCCTCCTGCCCATATACTTCCCAACCCAAATCAACGAATCCTTCCTTCTCCATGCCACCTCAACCACCCACCCCAATTTACTACCCACAGCCCCACAAACCACTCTTCAGTTCAATTAAACATCTCCCCATAATTTTACACCTTTTCAATATAATCCTAAAATTACTTGCCACCAATCGATGGTCACCCTCACCCCCTGAGTTCCCAACTTCCTTTTCCTTTCCGGTTTCTAATTCAAGTCATGTAGTGGAGGAGGGGAGCGAATCAGGTCCATAACATTTGATTAATAACTATGCATAACCCAATTAAAATTCGTCATATCAGTGTTCTTTCTCTTTTCTAAAAGTCTTCAATTTTCCTTCTATTAATCTTTAACGAACGATTTCTCGCTCGTTTTAATTTGGAATTTAATTTTTTTTGCACAGTTAGACCAGATTAATTGTGTTCTTCAAAATGATATCCACTTTGATATATTTTTTAAACAAAAAAAATTGAACCATTTTTTTCCAGTCTATATCATATGGTATTGACTCGTTTGAAACAAGAGCATATCATATGAAATGAAAAACGTACTATGGTGATATGAACATACCAAGACTGTAAGATAGTTGAATACATGATAATAGGAGTATATTAACTATCATTTACGACTTTCAACATTGTGTACCACAAGATACCACCCCGTACCAGGGTGGTATTGTGTAGTATTTTTTTTTTGTCATGAATTTTGTAGATCCAATAAATCATGATGAACTCGTTTATTCTGTGCAAATTTTTTCAAAAACAACTTCAAACTGAAGAAGATATCATATGGTATGCAGTTGGTAACGAGAGGCAATAAATTATTTTTATTCCTAAAAAAATATTGAAAATAGATCTCATTTTGTAGAACACAACGAACTCGTTCCATATATGCAAAAAAAATTGAAATTCGAGTTAAAACGAAGAAAATACGAGTCGATTAATAAAACAAGAGAAAATAAAAATGCATTTAATTCTCCGTCTCTTCAACCTTATTTAAATCCCTTTGTCTTCTCCATACAATATGATTCCCAGCTAATGTAACAAACTAACAATTCTCAATCTCTGCTCTCGTCCACCGTCAAGTTGTCTGATTCTATTGTGATCCGATTTTTTCAATGCATGTCATTTAGATTCATTAATCAATCAATCCAAACGATTGAATCCATGAATTCACCAATACATTTAATCCATAAATCTACAAATTCAATCTACCCTACAATGTATACAATTCATTTGATTTCTTTTACTTGAAGCTCAGCAGCCTCGCCAAATTCATTGAAATTCTCTACTACACTCAACACGTATACTATTTTTTTATAATATTATTTTGAAAGGCAAAAGTTGCGCCAATTTTTTATAGTCCGACCCGGATATTCAGAACGTAAAACAACAAGTGGCTGATTCGTGTCTCATAACGCGCAAGAACAGAAAACCCAACTAATAAACTAACTATTACCTTCCCTTCATGAATGGTTGTCCCTTTTCCTTTTCTCTCGCATTTTTAATGCCCTTTTCTATACGTGTGAATAAAGGAAATTCCTTGCTTTCGTATTTGTTTAACCCTTAAGAATAAAACAAAGTACAAGAAAAGCACAATTATATGATCAAGTTATTATAATTTGAAAATGAAAAGGTAAAGCAGGAGACATTTTCATTGTGAGGCTGAAGTTCATTCAGAAATCCGCAGTACAACTGTACAATAATAATAAAGTAAGGTGTAAATGAAACCCAACCCATAAACCACGTTCCGATATTTACTCCTCAACATAGCCCACCATTTGTCCGAACAATGATCGGGCCATACCACTGAGACGAGCCCTTTCAATTAATTAGACAACAAAACCACGTGTCTTCTACTCCCCACAAAAATATTTCACCCACCCTTTTCAGTTTTCACCCGGACCCTCTAATTACCACCCGTAAAAAAGAAAAAATTTAGTAATTTACAGTGCCTGCCTAACAAGTGTCTGAACTTCACTAAACATGTAACCCAAGTTGTCGACCAGCGTCGTCACACCTGACTTCCGCGATACCGATCCTCGACCCAGCCAGATCGTACTCCATCCACACGTTCTGCTGATGGTGATGCCCGATAACGAACGCCTCGATCCCCAGCAGCTCGGAGTTCCCGAATGTGAAGCACCACACCGAATCCCTCCCCTTCCCCGCCGGTTCGGGCACCCGGTACAGCAGCTTCTCGCCCGATACGGTCATCTCGGCCCCTTGGAACATCAGCGTGACTCCGGGCAGGCCGGGTGGGGGGACCGTCCGGGTCGACTCGATCAGGTAGCACAAGTCCATGGCTCCTTGGAACACGTAGTTCGGGTCGTCGAGGACCCGGAGAATCCCCTTGGTTTGGGCGAGGAACTCGGTTCGCAGCGCTGTGTAGGCATCGCCGAGCAGGAAAGTGAACTGGGTGCCCGAGTCGACCATGGTCTGGCCAGCGCCCGTGTGGTCCGGCTGGAAGACCGATTCCGGTACGGGCAGGGTTTTGTTGTTTACCTTTATGCCCTCCAGCTGGACGGTGTACGCGACCCGGTCGTAGTACGGCAGCGGGTCGTCGATTTTCACCATCGGGGTGTAGCGGAGTGGCTTCAGCCACGAGAAGGAGGCGTCGCCGCCGAGGAGCAGCACGCCGGAGGAGCCGAGGCTGGAGATGCAGTAGGAGAATTTCGGGTAGCCCATCTGGTTGATGAAGGAGAGCGAGCCGCGGTTCATCCCCATCAGCCCGGTCGATTGCGCGTCCTCCTCGGAGTTGGAGCTGAACCCGGAGTCCATGCACCCGAACAGGGTAGCGGGTCGGGTCATCGACCCGATCCGGAACGTCTCGTAGGCGAGGCTGCCCTCGATCGAGGTGGCGTCGGCGTAGGAGACGGTGACGTGGCAGATCTTGGCCGGGTCGCAGGAGACGGGTATGGACAGGTCCCGGGTCCGGGTCCGGCAAGTGGGCGAGGCGCAGGGGACTTTGGCGTACGATTTGGAAGCCAGCGGATCGAATGTGGAATTCAATCCTGGGGTTTTCCTGCAATGGAGCCAGGAAAGCTCGCTACCGGTGTCGAGCACCATCGTCACGGCCTGCGGCGGCGACCCGACGGTGAGGGAGACGGTGAGGGAGACGTTGTGGTGGAAGAGCATCTTGTCGGATTTGGAACCCGCGGCGAGGGTCTTGAACAGCCTGGAATTGGGAATCCGCTGGTGGGTCTCTGTTTTCAGGGCGAAAATCTGGCGAGGCGGCTTCGAGGAGAGACAGTGCTGTTTTGGTAGAAGGGAAATTAGGAAGATGAAGAGGGGAAGGGAAACAGAGTGGCGGATTGAGAAGGCCATGGCGGCGGCGATTTGTTGTTGGGAGAAGGAAGGTCTGGGTTGAGTTTGGGTTGGTTCAAATCAATGGTGGATTTGAGGGGAGAGTGAATATATAGTACATAGTGCAGTAGGGCGTGGAGGGGATTTTGAAATTGAAGACGGTGGTGGAGGCGATTTGGATTTTTGCGTCTGAGGAGAGGAGAGGGAATTGGTGGTGTTGTTGTGTGTTGGTTGGGGAAAATTACAAAAGAATGGGAGGCGAATTTCCGGTTCTTTTGGGGACAAGCTTTTGCGGGGAGGATGGATCTTGTGATGACAATTCACAGCAGGCCCGGCCCTGGGCCTGTGCTGGCCGGCCCCCCAGCACAGGGCCTCAGGGAAATTGGGGCCTCAACCTGTTGGACATTTGGATTTGTATGGGCTTTAAAGCCCAGCGAAAGAAAACAAAAATTACATATAATTAATGCACGGAATTCCTTCCACTCCAGACTCCACTGAGGAACAGACTCAAGGTAATAGGGGAAAAAGTCCCTTTTATATGTGTAGCTATTAAATTAAAGGTCATCAACAATTTTTTTTAAAGCTACACTAAACAAAAGATGGCAACTTAATTTCTGTTTCGGTAGCAATATCTTCTTTATTTGGACCAACAGTAATATAGCAACTATATCTAAAACATACTTATTGTAAATAATTAGCAACAACAATAATTTTTAGACTAAAAATGTCAAATGCTAAATCATTGTCTATTATCTTCTTCTCTAGCATATGATATTTGACTGTTCAAAAAATTTTCTACTCTTCGACTCTGAGTTCGCTAAATCTACTTATGTGGATTTGGTAAAAAACTACTCCTCAATTGAGTTTTTTTTTTCTTTTGTTTTAGTTCTGTTTGATTCATTCTCTTAATTAACCAATTCGCTATTGTAATTTTTGTCCACCCATCATCTGTTTATCATTCATTATTATTTTGTACTATATTTATTTTACTAAATTTATTAAATAAATTTGGGAATGTATTATTATTCCTCATGTTGTTGAATTTATATTTCGAGGGTAAGTTATTACAAGATTTTTTACCTTAGGAATGTATTCTTCCTTTTGAAATTCTAAATATTTTGAATTTTGTCGATTGTTTTTCTAATACAAACATAATATATAGAATTTTATTAACTATTCATGTGACTATTGCTGTATCAGAAAGAACTTTTTCGAAGTTGAAGTTGTTGAACTCTTATATGAGCTCTACAATGATACACGAGAGGTTTAACGGGTTAGCTATGTTGGCGAGTGAGAATAACTTTTTAGATGATGCAAAGACGGAAGAACTAATAGATTATTTTATTTCAAATAATACTAGACGGTTGTTTAAAAAAAATGATATTATTACTTCTCTAATCATTTTCTAAACTTATATATTTTTATTATTATTTAATATTTTATTTTAAATAAATTTGTGGAAAAAATTGATTTGGACCACATTTTAAATTTTCGAACAGGGCCTCCGAACATCATGGGCCGGCCCTGATTCACAGAGAGGAGAGGAGAGGAGGGAGTTGTTTTCAAGGTGGTGAATGTGATAGTTATTTGTATTGTTATTTCGTATGAGCTGACTAACGGTTGTCATGAGACCGACTGATATGACAAATTTTTTACAGGCAAATATATCATACATCACTATTTGCTAATCTTTGGTTCTGGAAATAAGAGTGTTTCCTTTTTCTATTCAATCAGAAAGTTCGGATTGAAATGACTTGGATGGTGTGAAATTCAGGTATTTTCCAATATGGAAGTCGCAAATGTTTGATCACGAATCTAATAATAGGTGAGAATTTTAGCATATGTTTGAATTTACAGTACCTCAATCATTTTATCTTTCTCTTAGGTTTGACATGCCGAATTACTAGACTCGTTAATCTTCTCATATGATGGATTGATTATGATTTATGAATTAGTAGAGTTATAAACACATACTTACGGCGTATTCATTGTTGATTGATGGAGAATTGACGATTGAACTGGACATTGGGGTTTTTCTATATAGAATTGATGAATTGAGGGGGGTTTGTCTGGTGTACGTGTAGGGAAACCATTGCACTCGAGTACCGTCTTGTAATAATCGCGATGGAGGGTTTCGTGTTGCTTTATGGATGCTTCAGTTTCCTTTCTTCTTTTCTCTTTACCGTTGAATTCTTTTGAGATATTTTACTACCTTTATTAAACGGACAGATGGTTTCATGCTCCTGCTCTGTTTTAGAAGGTTCGCTTCCCTTTTCTTGCGCTATTCAAAGTGGCGCAATCTATTCCTCTGTTTTAGAAGCTGCGTAGTTTGGTAATGGGACGAGAAGGAAAGGAAAGATTGGTGGTGTACGTTTGGTAAGAAATTTAACAACTTGCCCTCTGTTTTTGCGTAATTCAAGGCAAATCCCATTAGAGTATACAACAAGATCATAAATAATCCATCCTGGGAATCATATATGGAATCTCCCAGATGTTAACGTTATGTCCAACAACAAAGTAGGTTTTACCATGACAGGGGAAAGCCATGGCTGGCAAAACCTAAAGCAGAGGAACGTGAGTAGTAGTGAGCGGCCCCAGAAGCAGAATGAGGTGATATTGAGATGCTGTAAATATCTAAACCGGTCGGTCGGACAGATATGGTGTAGGAGGACATGTGACATGTTTGACCTTTCCATTGCACTAACTAGTGGTCATATAATCTAGGACATGAACATGATCCAAGGGTTGCTTGTCAAAGACAAACTATTATATTTTGTAGACGACTCGCTTAAGTTGCTATTATTTTTCGTGATGTAAAAATTTTGTTAGGTATCTCACAATAATTATCGATGACGGATGTTGATTCATAGCACATAACAAATATGTGATTTCATTGTTTTGATGGAGCTAAACGGGGTAGAATTGTGAAACGAAAAGACGAGCAAAAAACTGTTAGCTGAGAATTCGTATTCTATGAGGTTTGAGTCTTCAACATGAACCCTCTTATTATATATTGACGTCGTGCATTTTTCTTCCTTCCCATATCAACGTACTTGTTTTCTATATATATATGATAAAAGGATGAAAATTTTCATGTTAAATAGACCAAGGAGGGTTCGATAGTTGCGAGATACATATAATTGTCATTCCTACTAATAGATAGCTTGTAGCCTCAATAATTATTTTTCAATATCCAACGTAATATGAGGTGTTACTCATTTTGAGTCATGTTGTTATGACTCGAAAACTTATTATTTGTCATCGACTGCAATTCATATGGCTAGGCCTTTTGGAGAAGGTGTTACATGTATCTTCACAATCTCTATAATATGGATTTTCTCAAGAATACTAAAACTAATAATTTATATCCATAGACATAACTAACACATCGTGTTAATAAATCATCTAAATATGTATTCTTCACTTTCTTACACTATCGATTTTCCGATCCATTACAACAAGCCATATCCTATTCACACCAATTTCCGTCCGCTATAGCTTTAGCAGGTAGCAGCAGCAGCCAAGCTCTATTCTTCCTGTGTTCCTATTGCTACTACCAACTACCAATCAACCCTCAATTTCTTTTCTTTATCACTTTTAGGAGGACCAACACCCAACACTCGGTTTTTTCTTCTAAATGAACCCTTTTTTTAGCAAGGGTGGTCTCTTTCGATAGATTTGTTTTAACCACTCTCCTCTCATATTGTTTACTCTCTAAATTTTGTAGCTGCCAACTGTTTTTTGTACTTTTCTTTTGAATTAACAAATGTGATTTATTAGAAATTTGGTGAAAATTGTCAACACGTATAATCACTTTTTTTCTAATTGTTTTCTTGTTAAGGTCAATGTAAATAAATGCTATTAGCTTTGGTAGTACTTTTCCCTCACTCAAATCATTTTTATGTTGTGAGATAATTTGCCCGCGTCCCTTAATTAGAACTTAGAAGAAGGTCCATGCATGCACTTTATCCTCATTTCCAATGCAAATTTAGTCAAAAGAAGCACTCGTCTTATTGTTTTCATTGATTCAATTTATGGTGTTAAATCTCTAAAATAGCAGCCACTCTTTATGTAAAGATGAAATAATGCTCTAATTTATACACAACCTTTCTCTTTATTGACAAAACTATTCATCAAATATGATTAAATATAACGTGGAATCATATACTATAGTAACAAACATAGCACATACCATCAACTCTCGAATTTCTATCGTCACAAATCGATCATAAAGAATAGCTAGACGGGAATGGTATAAAAGACACAATTCTCATCATTCATTGTGCATGTATGTCACACACGTAATAACACGGTCGAGCAGACATATTTTATAGTCTAATAACGATGTTAGATCTCCTATTGAAAATAAATAATCCCCTTGTTAGTCTCTCAAGTCCTATAATTGAGAGTCGATTTGTGGATGTTATATGTGCATTGAAGTAGTTAATTGATGCTATATTTTTTATTCCAGATACTGTATGTGTTTAATTTGATCCAATAACACCATTATATGAACATATTTGTTGATGAAAATACATAAAATCGGTTTTAACGGTGTTCTGCGATTTGGAAGCCAGAATTGAATTGATGAGTGATTATAATTGAATAGAAAAGTAACCAAATGAGCAGGCGATTTGACAAATATTATCGGCTTCGCAATTACAACAATGGTTGGTTCCTACTTATCTTTCAACCTTCTTTCTACACGCACCAAATCACAACACCACAAACTTAAATCGTTTCAACTTATCTTTCAAATAATTATTAAGTGGCGCATAAATCATAATCTTCTTTTTATTCGCCTCAGCTGCTAACATCCTTGTTTCTTCCTTTACTTCAGATGGCTTCTTCCTCAGGTGACTATGAAAATAACATCTGTTGAGTTCAGTGTCGTTGAAACTAATGGATGCATGTAAACTAGGAGAAGCTGTCAATTCCTTTTTAGTTATTTAATCAAACTTCGAGCCCTTGGTCACAAAAAAAAAAATTGTAATTAATAATTAAAATATGGTCCAATCAATTTTTGTTCATCGTTGAATTTGATGCGCTCGCATTAATTACTTGATGATTTGGTTACTGTCAATAATATATAGACCGTTCCCTCTCATGAGTTGTCAACCTCCATAATGCTATTATGCAAAACTACTGGAGTACAATTGTTTTGAAACCGTTGAAGAATTTTTTAAAGTATGTAAATTTCGTAAGAAAATTATATTAACATTCAATAACTCAACAATAAAGTAGAATATTGAATGACCATGAACTAGATAGGTAATTATCATAAATGAATGCAAGACAGGAAATGACTGTTGTATTTGTGCATAAGGTTCGAGTAGTATATTAAGAAAAACAATGTTGGGCGCGGGAATTGATGTTATGGAGTCACATATAAAACGAAATAAATATATACACGTTCAGAATTCAAACATCAAGTATAATGAGTTATTCGGGTCAAAACAACTCGCGTAAAAATATTACCCAAACGAATCGATACAAACACAACCAGCAAGAAGCATGCACGAGACCGCACAAATTAGGATGGTTGATGGCCAAGTCTTGCTTTGATTCACGCGTTTCCCCCAATCAACAGTGCTAGCTAGCTAGCCCAGAAAGAGACTGGTGGTGATTGTTAAGTTCATTGATTCAGTTATGGATTGTTGCTCATCCTATATAATAAGTCAATGGATTGGTTTGTCGCCTTATTTGATGTATATATCTCTCTAGTCTCTAGCTAGTAAGAGATGCCATCTCACTCATCTCCTCCATTGTTTTCAATACAGAGAATGACAGTACCATAGCCCATACACATATGGTTGGGCCAATCTCAGCCTATTGGACATTGTAGCAGTTGCGTTGCTGGTCCTGCGTGAGTTAGGAAGGGGACTAAATACAAAGGCCCTGCTGGAAGTGGGTCCATGGGCCACTTGTCCATCCATGATATACAAACTACTTTTTATTTATTTATGAATGATATAAAAAAAGTGATATCTCTTGGAAATAGGTTCTATGATCTAAGCATTGTTGGATGGAGTCCTGCTGGTGGAATGCAACAAACGTTTGGGTTAATAACGAAATTGGGCCATCAAATTGGCCCAGTTTTAAATTACGTAAATTGAACCATAGACGAGCCCACGGTACCCTACAACCATTTAAGTAAAGAGAAAGAAAGCCCAAAGAAAGAACTCTTGATTTTTTAGTGCCAAGAAAGACGATGCATAAAAAAAGGGAGGTACCACGTAGTTTTCTCAGTCACGACGACTCACAACCTTCTCATTTCTGCAAAAGCAATGCAGGAAGAATGCTCAAATTCACAACAAAGTCATGGGAATGACCATTACATTGCTCTTGTCGAGGGAGCCCTACCGCGGGATGTTCTGGACAGGAAGTGCAATGAACATCCCTCTATGCCGAGTGATTAATGCTGCTAGATTAGTTGTTTTTATCCTTTCTTATAGGCTCTGACAATTCTTGCGATGAATGTCAAGCTACTCATTTCTGTAGAAGCTAACAAAGTTGAGTTCGGGGATTAAAAGAGAAAATTAACACATACATTCCAACCGATGGATTATTATTCATTATCAGAAAACTAAAGTTACAAAGTACTCAATTTCTTGCAACGGGGCATTCTTAGTCAAAATAGAGGCCTTGGTTAATCAGCAGGTTCACCGCATGAGCAATTCCGACTGAGATCAGTGTCACATTAAGGGTTTCATCATTACCCAACCCAATAATGTTTATCTGTAACTAGAGAATCACTAACCTGGGATTTGTAGCTAGAGGGATCACGAGATTGTTGGGGACGGTTTGCAGATTAGACAACTTCTTGGCGTTGATTACTCCAGTCACATCAAAATCAGCATTGGAGAAGCTTACCGTCTTGAATCCTAGGTTAGAGACTGCTCTCGCCACCTGAGTAGGCGACGGAGGAATTTTGGTAAATTGAATATGAAGACCAAGTGATCTTGATTATGAGTGTGGGCGACAACGACTTGCACCAATGGAGGATGGAATTTTCTGTCAGCGCTACGCTTAGAATCGTTAAGCCTCTAAATAGCCCTTCGTCGTGCGGCTGTAGGCTGGCTACTGCAGTAGCCAGATTCTGTGGCGGGAGGCATGAGGGCCAAGGCTGAGTGAGACAGTGTATGAGAGAGTGTAGTGAGATTCTTGATTTCTTGGCTCGTAGAGAGGAGACCGCTAAATGCTAACCGAAGAAAACTAGAGTGAAATATATTCTTATACCTCACATTTAACCTGGCGTACCATGGGTGGAGAAGTCAACACTTGCGGAACATGCGACCAAGATTCGGTCGTTGGGTCTCTGCAATTACTCATGTTGATTAAACAAGGCCTCCGCGCTTGGGCCCTATTTCATCCACCACCAGTACAATCCTGTATTTGGGCCTAGACCCAACACTTCTATAATTTTTACGTTGGAGTTATAGATTCGTTTTCCACTGAACATCAACATTTTTCGGATAAATTCTCGCAATCCTCCAATAACGTAGAGATTCAGTAAGCATGTACCCTTATAGGTTATATAAGCTCAAAGTCTAGTTGTATTAATCGTCATCACCTTCCGTCGTCAAGTTAAGTCATTTTCAGAGATTGATTTGCATGTTCAACATAAAAACGAGAGAGAGTATTACGACCATTGGATGAATGGTTAATTTGTATTTTAGTCCGTTGAATTTATTTCAGTAAGTGTAAACATAATAATGAGATAGAACTTGAACACCTGATCTATTTCCATCTCTGGTAGGTGGAACCGAAGTAGACAAATACTTATCTGTTACAGTTGTTGCAGCTAGTGAGCCAGAACTGCGGACCAACTCAGAGGTATGAAGATGAAAACAATGCAACTCTTTTATGTGAAACCAGGTAAAGTTAAGAGTGCTTAGTATAGGAATTTCCGTCCAACCCACAAAGAAACTTCAGCCGAGAAGTGAGAGAGACCAGCAAGAAAAGAAACCCCATTTGGCAACGTCGTAATCCATCTATTTATCAATCTGTTGGCACAAACAAAACAACCCATTACCTACGTGAATGATGCACAAAAAATCAAATCGGTACAACCAAATTACACCACTAACAAAACAAAAAGGCAGCTTCGGTGGCTGGCTTTCTTCCGTTTCCCCATATGTTGCCATTATTGTAATTCAAAGGTCCCTACCACATCGCCTTTTCTTTCCCGTAACTCATGCGTCACACGACCAATAATTTTGCCAATGTCCTAGTCCCAACAATCACTACCTTGATTATTCATAATTCTTTTCTCCAACAAAATGGTTGCATACAAATCCTAGAAGACTAATAACGTTTCAACCAATTTGGATAGTGTACTCAAATTCCTATAAAGTCTCGACAAGATAACAGATCCCCCGTCCAATTGACGCTTCTTTACCGCATGTGTTAACAAAATTTGTGTATAGATAGAAAATGTGAGCTTGTATTGTGGCAAACCCAATAGTTTGATTTACAAGATTAATCAACTAATTGCTTAATAGGACTAAAATTTATCAAAATTAAGAAACCAACCACTCGTTGACATAAGATGCAAATAATTGGGAAGGAATCCTGGCACAAAGGTATATAGCTTACCTGTTCAATCTCTCTTATAATATCCGCAACCTGTCCTAATCTGTGCCAAAAAATAGTAGAGGACGCTCCCCTTTCCCTTCCAATCTTCCAATATCCCTTCCCTTGTATTATTGTACTGAAGGGCAAAGGTAGGTAGGGTACCCTACCCCACATTCCAGCAAGCAAACTTGAAGTTGCCAACTGCACTGCAAATGGTTTCCCCAATTGGGCCGCCGCAGGTTCTACCCTTTGCATTTCCAAAGAGCCCATGGGCCATAGGCCATAGGCCATAACCCTTCCGTGTGCAAACAAACAATTCCCAGAACCAGCCCATTCAATTCGGCACTGCAATTCTTATGAACTAACACCAAAATGCTTCGATTGATAACCCCCCACGGAAAGAACTTAATTAGGCTACAAGAAGATTCCAAATTAATTAGCAAAGACAAAATCAAATTTGGTTCATTCATCCCCTCCCCAAAAATCAAGCAACCGAAATAATTTCTGTAATCAATGTTCTGAATCTGAAATAATCTCCATCATTCTTACTACCCGATGGATTTCGTTCCTATTCCCGGCTGCAGTCGCCGACCGGACCAGAAGTTTCAGTATCGCCGTCGACCCCATGATAAATCCATTCCCATGTGTTTTAATAGACCCAACGTTTTAGAAAAATATATACATACAGATAACTGCCGGCCGATATCACGCGACTTCGCCGCCTTTCCTGACCCTGCCAGTTTGACCCCCGGTCACCGATTTATTCTCGCCGACGAAGTCGTCACGATGAAGGACGGCGACCGACTGGTCATCCGTCTAGATCTAGAAGCTGAGCTCTCCCCCATGCCGAAACAAGCAAACCAGTGCCGGAAAACCCGGCCCAGGCCAAGCACCCCGCCGCGGTTGCTGCCGCTGCCGGAACCGATGTTGTCCCTCCGGGTTCGGCTCCCTCTCGATCCCCACGAGATCCGTCGAGGCAAGCCCCCGTTGTTGCTGCTGTTGTTGAACCCGCCGTCCATTTCGGTGTAGACCACCGGGAGCTCCCTTTCTCCCCTCATGGCTCCAGTGAACCGCCCCACCGCGTACCCGCCGCCCGGTAGCCTCCAGATTGTCAACCCGACCGCTTCCTCCTCGCCGGCCTCGCTCGTGCCCTGCTCGCTGACGGATCGGTCCTCGTCCGCCGCAGGCAACTCGTGGCGGCAGACAGGGCACGAATTGCGGAGAGAGAGCCAGGGGAGGATGCAATCGGAGTGGTAGAGATGCTTACACGGCATTTCCCGGGCCTCCGATTCGATCTCGAAAGCGTCCATACACACCGCGCAGTGGGACTCCGTGGAGGTGTGCCTCTCGTTGATGATTACCGTCGGCATCGATTCGATTGCCGCCTTCGACGCCGGGGGATGGTCGTACCGACTCAACCCGTTCAATTCGATCTGCGACAACTGGTCCAGCAGCCGCTCGAATCCAGATCCGAGCAGAAACTCCGACATGCTCGGCGGCAGCGGCCTCAATCCAGAACCGGCGCCGTCGTCGTAATACAACTCGAATCCACGGCCTCCGCCTCCTCCGCTCTCGCCGCCGTTCCCGGTACTGGTGAAGCTGTTCCCACTCTGGCTCCCACTGTCCGCTCCGCCGCGGAGCACGATGACCGGATTAATCGGCGATCTGTCCCCTCCTCCTCCACCGTTCCGCCTTCCACCGACTCCTCCCCGGACCCCGCCTCTTCTCTGCTCCGGTATGAACATAGCCGCAGGGAATCCCCGGCGATGGGGGCGCGTCTCCATCGATGTCATCTGAGGAGGATGCTCGATCTCCTCCACAAACCCGGTCTCGCAATTGGGGCACGAAACTGGATCGTCGTCTTGCTGTGCCTGGCTCCACACTCGGACGAATCGGTTGCAGCGGTAGCACCAGTAGGAAGGTCTGGGCGACGACATGAGAATGAATCTGTGTCTATGATTGTCGATTTCTTTTTCCGGCGTTCAGATCTGAAAGGGGAAAGTTAACTACGGCGAAGACCGCCTTTGTTGGAAGAGAGGAAAAAAGGGAAATTCAACGGGAGAGAGAGAAAATTTTAGTGGTGGGAGAAGAATGGATGATTATAAGAGAGAGAGAGCGAGAGGGAGGGTTGAGGAAGGAAAGCATCCAATCTAACGGCGTAACCCGCGTCGACAGTGTTAGCGTTTGACGGGGGGAGGAGGGTGGAGTGACGTGACCGAGGGGGTGACCTTAACGGCGTTTATAGGGGCGTTAAAAGAGGGAGGATTCCTTTTGTTTCTAATTATTTAAATTTTGTTTTGTCCATTTGAGTATGGAGATTGGAGAACACAGCATTTAGCACAGCGTTTGGTAATTGTTTGTTTGGGTGCCATCCAGCTGTGGGAAATGTTCCCCTGGATTTGCGTGGTCGCAAACATGGTGCGGAATATCATTAACCCTACTATACTAGTATACTATTATCACAAAAATAAATAAATCTATGACGAGAAATCGACAAACATTTTTTAAAAAAAATATAGAGTTTGGCGGGATCTATGAACGGTATCATATCGACGGTTCAACTACAAAATACTCGTATTGGAGGTTAAAATGGTAGACGGTAATTAACGATACTGGTGATTAAACTACGATTAAATCACAATCTATCATTGACTTTTTCGGTATAGTTTCGTAAACCATGGAGTTGGGTGTATCTAGACAAGTGTGAATGCAGTTGGAAATTGTGTTTGTGATTTTTAATTACACTCAATAATTAACATCACAAACACTTTTATGCTATCTTAAATTGGATAAGAGGTATACAATCTCAAACGTTGAAATATGTAAAATCGGTACACGTTTACTTGTGGGCTAGATTGCAAGTTTGATCACTGGAATTACTTAAAAATTTTCATTATTCAAAATTAGTTCAACCAATTGTGTTTCACGTCGAGAACTCCAAATACCTGGATGTCCACGTAGGCTTTAACTGATCACACATGCCATATGACTTTAGGTCTAAGTAGCCGAGCACTTCTACTATGCTATATAGGATTGGTGCTTTAATATACAACTTGAAGTTGTACTATAACATTAAATGTACAAGTTTAGGTTGTACCATATAGAAATTTGTATCATTATGCTATGGTACAACTTTACAACTTGAAGTTGTACCATAAAAGAATTTGTACAAAAGTATAGGTACAATCTGAAGTTGTACCATAACATTAAAGGTACAATTTCAAGTTGTACATAAAAGTAAAAACCTATAGCACCAATGCTATATAGCATTGTAAAATTCCTCCTAAGTAGCCTATATAGGTTTACTTAGTTTGCGAACTAAACACGTCCGGATTACAATAAAAATAGGGCCAAGTACAAATCTATCTGATATGATATCACTTGTGTTTTGTAACATCCATATTTTTTTTTTATAAAAATATTATTCGCTTTCACGATTTTGATATTAGGGTCTTATAAGACCACTCATCCTTGTAACGTTTCAAAATGAGCATTTTTATTTTCAGAATTCTTACAAAAACTCTTTCATTTCACACCAAAATGCGTATTTTCAGTTAATATCAATTTCTTACTATTTATAAATCATAAATTTCTCCAACACTTATCGACAATAAATAAATGTGAATTCTAAAATAGGTGACCACTAAAGATCGTAAATACGAGTTAATTATGATTGACTTATGATCCATCCAACCTTTAACATCAAACCAGCAAAATTCTTAAACATATCTATTTAACCCAAAAACGACACTCAAAACATCAAATATTATTTTGTTTCTAGAAACCTGCGGCAAGAAACTTTGAATAGTTTGATCACACTAGACACAAAGGAGTTTTCGGCAACCTTCTCCTCACACTTGGAAACTAGCTATAAGACGTAAACGGTCATCTTCTTTGTTCCTCCATCGTTGAGTAATGAGAGTATTTTTTTTATAAGGATAATATAAGTTTGGTTATTAGTTAGGTGTCATTTAAGCGATTAAAATTTCGAATCTTCAAATTCAAAATTAATTGTATATGTATTATCACTTAACCAAATTTTTATTGGACTACATTTGACCAATTAGCTGATAATTAGTAGCAGAAACCAGATTTGTATTCTATGCCCCTCTGGGCCTCTTCCATGAATGAGGTAAGTAATGGCGTTGAATGGTCCAATTGCTCACGTGGTTAGTTCTTGGGAAGACGCTCGGAAATAATGCAAGAAAAAAGAGTAGCTGGTTAGTTGAAAAGTTGGGTGGATGCTGAACTTGGAACCTAACTTGTTGTCTAGCTTACTTATTGCCTTGCAACTTCATCTTACATACAAGTTATGATCTTAAAATCTAGACAAGCACGTCTTTCGTGTTGGCACGAAATTTCCAATTCTAAGGATGGTCGATGATTTTATGGTTGACAGATTTCAGAGACCAATAGATTTTTCAAATCCATGGATTTATATAGGTTCGAGGAGTGTTTCGGATGAATTAATTTGACTTCTTATCAGATATGTGACATGAATACAAACACTTGTAGAGGTGCAAGATAAGGACACAAAATTGGGAGACAAAGGAAAAAAGATTTATACTACGCCCTCACAAGATATATATAGAGTTACCACTGAGAGTATGTATGGGAATAGGTACAAATGGATGGGATGAATGCAATTTCGAATATTTTTCAATAGTTATAAAGGGAGTAAATGGAGGGCAAGTTTACTATTCTCGTCTATCTCAATTTGGAGTGTAAATAACAATTATAAAAAATTTATTATTACGAGCATTGTTATATATAGACGATATTCGAGGGCAATCATTGATTTCGGTGTAAATTTAGCTCCAATTGTTGACACTTGACACGCCAAACAAGTTGGTCAATTGTTGACTCTGGTTATGATTCAATATGTTGGTTTAACAAACATGTCAACAAATCAATGTGCCAGCCTTGTCATGATGACCTAGCTATATATCTTGGTCATTGAATGGATTTCGAGCCTACTCATATCATCAAGGTTACTCGACCAACTATTATTTGAAGAGGTCTAACAATAACATTTCATATCTATTTATGTGTGTAAATATTTTATGATAATAATTTTTATAAATTGTATTTATAATCATTTAGTATACATACATTTCACTCCAATTCACACACTCTTATTCCTCCATCCAAATAACAAATCTTGTCCCTCCAATTACACATCCGACTTTACATCCGTCCTCAAAATTTCACCGCCGAACATAGTGTATATAAGATGCCAATCTTGGAATAATGAAAAAGAACACAGACGCTAGGGAGAGTCCACCTCTTCTAATCAACTGCCACGTGCTTCTTTTCGAGAGTAAAAGACAAGGCTGCTGATGAGGTTGTGGCCCCAAGAATGTAACAATGCAAAACAGAAGCAGTCGACTAATTACAAAGATAAGGTTAAAGACGAGAGAGTGATTTCATGCGAGCTCAGACAGAGGCAGCAACGATAATATATATAGCCTTGTGTTCGGCCTTTGTATAGACCTGTAAGCAAATTGTCTTTTGTTTTCTCGAGTAACAATGAGATTAATTTATCAAAAGGATCACCATGCGAGATTAGAGATTGTAATAAGTGGACTTATTGAGTAATTTATTCAATTGTCATAATTTATATGAGTATTGGGTCCACTAAAATGAACTTATATATACTTTTAATGAACCTGAATTGGGTTTGAATTGTATCCTATTTAAATAAAATTTTTTGGATAAAACCCAAATGGGTCTAGTTAAGTTGGGTAGAGATGGTTGTACCAAGCATTCCATTAATCTCAAAAAGCATATATGCTGCCTTGCAATGGAAGCATATTTGAGATCAAAACTTAATTAGCCTCGTCTTTCTAAACCATAATTCAACCCTATTTATATTTGATCATATGTACGCGTATACTTATTGTTCGACCAAACATTGATCAAAATTAGACCGAAGTGATAAATATATGTGGTAAACAGTACAACTTACAACATCTGCTATCGTGAAATTGCAGGGAGTAAAAGTGCAAAACTTAAAAAAAAAATGATTTACGTTCTTACTAATTAATGGTACTGCCAAATTGGCGATCAGGTAGATATTGGTAGTTGTAGCAACTGTGGAAATTAGACAATAGAAGGTAAAATGTATAAACTAAAATGTTGGATTCGAAGGAATGATGAAAGCAACATAACTTTGGTAATTTCTTGGTGAACTATAAAACGCACATTTGTGACATAAGCACAATGGTACTAATACTGGCGGCACAACTATTATTCAACATTGTCCAGAAATTTTAATAAATAATAACAACAATAATTACACACAAAACAAATATTCGTAACACCCAAAACAAATTGATTAAAAGGGACCATATTCCCAAAAACAAAAGAATATAAGCCCCAGCAGGAAGATTAGATATACTCGTAATTACAAGAAAAAGAATTAAAAATTGGAACCCACCCACCCAAAAAAAAAAAATTACTACTGAGTCCTTGACATTTAGCCAAACCAACAATTTGGTCCTTAAACTCTTAAAAATCACCTCTCCAGGACTCCAACCCTAGACGTTACAACATCAATCCAACAACAAGGGAATAGGGCTTTCAAATACACAAGAACCAAATTGTCAATTTACCAAAATCCAAAACTCCAGTAGTAGTTTTTCCAAAAGAAAAATAAACAAATGCACGAATTTATGTAACCTTTATTTTTTCTGTGTAGAAAGTCGATCGTCTCTATCAACCCAACCAAATAGATCGTGAAGAGCGCCTAATGGAAAAATGGGGTGAAGGCGCTGACAACCTTCTTGGCCTGATCCACAATCGACATATACGACACCGTCCCATCATTCCCCGCCAGAACCCGATACTTATCCTTCCTCGTAAAGTTGGTGCACTCGAACCCCAACGTCGCCGCCAAAATCCTCTGCACGTAATTCGCCACGTCATGCGGGCTCTTCCCTGACGAACACGTGGCCTCGGCGGGCAGCTGGTTCAAGAAAGTCACCTCGTAGACGGGCCTCGGGTTCATAAAAAAGAATATCGGGTCCAAACCCTTCCACCCTCTCGCCGTCGTGGCGTGGAAGAACCCGACCCGGTAGTTCATCGCCACGGGCACGATCCGATCCGTCAGCTCCGCGAAAAGCGCGCTGAACCGGAGGAGGAACGGCTCCCTACACGTGGTTCCCTCGGGGCAGACCACGAGATCTCCCTGGCCCAGCTCGCGCTTGATTTTCTCGGCGTCCACCTCGCGAATTCTCGTGAGGCGGACGGTCGGGATCGGGGACAAAATCTCGGTGAGCCGCGAGATGGAGTAGGTCACGGCCGGGATGCGGCGGCGGAGGACGGTGGCGAGGACCACGGGGTCCATGAGGGTGCGGTGGGTGCACACGAAGAGGACCCCGCTCCGGCTGCCGTGGGCTGGCGGCGGAGGTGGCTTCCCTTTGACGATAACTTGGCCGCCGAGTATGCGGGACATGTAGGGTTTGGCCCAGAAGGGAAGCATGGTCCCCACCGTCATCCGGACGACGGCTAGGACGATGCCAAGTGGCATCCATAGGATGATGAGGAGGGCCGTGGCCGCCGTCGGCCGCTTCACGAGGCGGCCGTCGTGGAAGATCACCGGGAGTGGTCGTACCAGCTGTTCATTTTGAAGGTCCTCGTTGAACGTGAATGGTGGGTGCATTTCTTCCTGCATGATGGTTTGGTCAGGAAAAAGCGGTTAGTTCGGTTGGTTCTCCAAAACAAGAAACTGTACGACGGAAAAAGAAATACTACTCTATTTACCTTGCAAAGTGACAAGAAGCTGGAGCCTGAACCGGTTCGCCTCCCGAGCCCTAAACCGGGCAACTCGTCATCATCATGGTCAAACAGTTTATCAACCTGACTCAAAATGAACACGTCGAGATCGCCACCATCATTGACCAAACCGGTCGCATAACCGAACCGGTTCACAACGAGCTCGGCCCCGATAACTTCATGGGCACTCAAGTGATCCTTGACGAACCTCTCCACCATGAGCTTGGGCATCTTAGTGACGACCACCCGTTTTTCACGAGAGCTGAACACTCTCCATGCTCCCATGTCGACGTCGTCCATGTAGAATTTGGGAAGCACGGCTCGAGCCACGGACTCGATCTCGGAGACTCTAACGCCAACCGTGGCGACAAAGATCATGAGCTTGAGCCCTAGGTCTCTCATCCCGACGGCCTCGAGCAGCTTGATGAGCGGCCAGAGGAGGAGGAGGGCGAGGAAGCGGAGGAGGCCGGAGGCCTCGAAGGCGACGAGCATGAAGTAGGAGAAAGGGTCGGGGTCGTGGAGGAGAGTTCCTTCTAGTTCTGCCACGACGGCGGCGGCGGCCTCCATTGTGTATGGAGAAATGTGTTGGCTAGCTTAGCTCGAGTGGTTTGGTTTTTTTGGGGGGTTGATGAGAAGGAAATGTTTTAGGGTATATATTTGTTGGGAGGGTGGGAATTTTGTGGAAGGCGGGTTATCGGTTTTACAACTAACGAATGATGCGATTGGGATTTATATAGACGTGAGAGAGGGAGATTTGGGGGTGGATAGATCTGCAAAGAAGATAGGGTTATACGCCACGTTATTATAACACCTCCGCGGAATTTGGTTGGTTAAAAGGAAAAACAAAAAGACAAGTGGACTTTTTTCTTCTTCTTGTTCTTAGTCTTTGCTGATTAATTAGCTTTATTGTTTAATTAGGGGGGCACAAAAGTATAGTAGATTGATAACTTAATCCCAACAACTCGGCCTAACTCTGTGCTGAGGGTATAGGTGTATATGTAGATACGGCACCGTATGAACTGCGAAGACACGTATACATACATAATGCTACCTATAGAGTATAGTTTGGAAGTTGGCCACCTTTAGGGGTCGTTTGCTTCAAGGATTTGGTACATGGATTTGGTAAAAAAAACCAACTATCAAGGATTTAGGTACAATCCATTGTTTGCTTGCACTTTTTTTGGAGACCAAATCCGTGGGGCCCACGGATTTTAAGGGTCCAAATCCGTGGACCCCACGGACTTACAAATCCCACATGTTGATGTGGGATTTGGAATATGGCATAAATCCTTGATGAGATTTTACCCATATACCCTCATGCACTTTTAATATTCCAAGGTTGCCCTCAAATTTAACTATTATACATTATAATTAACAATAAATGGATAATATAAACGTTCAATTAATGTGCAAACATGAGTTAGATTTTTTATATCATTTCTTGTGTTCTAGTTTTCTTTGACCTTTTCATGGAACGTGTAATTATTTGTTCTCCCGATTCTAATATATGTTGTTATATGTCACTTTTGAAAAGGAGGACAAAGAATTGGTAATTGTTTATGTAACGTTAAAAGTTAAAACGGAATTTTCTCGTTTATTATTATCGTCCATGTGGCAACATTATGCTTATTAGTATGTATTGTCCTTGTTTTGTGTACATATCATAAACATGTCAAACATATACAAAATGATAGTAAGGTAATTTTGAAGTTTTGTCCTCTTTTTGTGTACATATCATAAACATGTCAAACATATAGAAAAGGGCAGTAATGTAATTTTTGACTTCAAGTAGTAAATCTCACACCTTTAAATCCATGATAAAAACATCCAAACAAACAAAGGATTGTTACAAATCCATGATGCCTCAAATCCTTGATAAATCCTTTGGTTTTTAAATTACAAAACCCTCATTTTTAAATCCATGAAGCAAACGACCCCTTAATTACAGTTTCTTTCTTATGCGAGTCAATTATTATAATATTTAAGGCGATTAGCTAGTTATATAACATTTCAAAAGTATGACATATTCAAATTATTATTATTAGATTAATAATGTTGCAAGAGCAATTTGATCGTCTTCTGATGCCACGTACGTTGCTTTGCTGCGCTGAAATTACATCCGCTGTATAATTTCTTCATTCAGAAAAAGAAATCTGCATTTTCTGATCCTCAATTGGTCAGTATTTGCTCGCATATACAGGTTGCCACGTGTGAAGCCGAGAATCGAAGCATGCGTCAAACCGTATATGGATGTGAATGGCTGCGAGCTTAGTAACTGGTGACAAGTTTTAGTGCAGGAAGTAATTATAGTGTCTGGAAGTTGGAAGCATGCATGCAGGAAAAGAAGGGCCACCCGGCGTGCATATATTATCTGGGACAGGCAGCCTAGGGGGAAAAGAGAGACTGTCGTGAATAAAGAATAATTCCTCAGTACAAGAAATTAAAGCAAATTGATTGAAGAATACTACTAACTTTTACGTTCAGGTAAATAAAGCAGGTTAAATGTTGGTATCTAGCTGTTGCCTAGGGTTCCTGCCTTCGTATATAGGGGAAATGAAATAGCAAGCTAGCTCAATAAATCAGGAAGTTAACACCAATGTAAAATGTGAGTCAGGTTTTTATTTCAAACCTCGCTTTTCTAACCAGAAAAATATATGTGTGGTATTGTATGAATATCTCAACAACTCAAGTTATTGAGACGAATTGATAGTTCGTAATTTGTGTTCCCCTCACTGATTTCTTGATGTCAGTTTCTCTAACATGCTGATGAGTGTGAGAGATTTTTGCGACCATATACATTAAAAATCAAGATAGGTAAGCGGTTAACTGCAGAGACAAACTTGTCATGCAAACTTGGTTGTTGGTAAAATGTATATGTGAGAGATTAAACAAAGACGTACTGTTAGTGATGGCAATTTCAACCCGCCCCGCGGGTATTACCCGACCCGCAGTAGCGTGGGGCGGGGCATGGGTATCTACTTCCGACCCGTCCTGCCCCGCCCCGTTCTATACTCATTTTATCTCAATTTCTTACAATATTTATACATATTTCTCATATTTTGACTTTTCTTCAATTAGTTAGAGTCGATCTTTCAACTTTTTAGGTTCAATTATCCATTCTATTATCAATATTTTTCATTCTTAAAGTGTTTTTCCCTACGTTTTATTGTAAAAAGTAAAATTTACTTGTATTTTTTTGGGTTAATTGTATGGTTGGTCACTGAGATTATAAAAAACGTTCATGTTTGGTCACTCGAAATTTTTAAATCCATTTTTGGTCATTAACTTTACAAAAACCATTCATTCATGGTCACTCTCCGTTAGCTGCCGTCCAACGCCGTTAACAGCGTCCGTTAAGTGATGACGTGGCTGACGGATTTGCCTAATCAGCACCTTTTAACCCGAAAATTGACTGACCCGACCCGCCACGTCATTTAAACCCTCCATGTCTGCTAAACCTAACCAAACCTCTAACCAAACCAGACCCGACCCGACCCGACCCACCAACAAAAACGACCCACCCACCACTACGAATTCATTTGCGATTCAGGTTCCTCCTCCACTAGTCATCCATGGATGCCCTGCAACAAATTTGGAGAAAAAATCAGAGGTCAGAATCTTGAGACACTAAAACCCATCTGCGGCAGTAGAGATATGAAATCCTCGCACTCTTTTCTTTCTGCCCTCATCAGTCATCTCATAACATGGGTAGCGCTTGATTTTGTGTTTAGAAAATGAAGGAAACAATTAAAATAAGAAATTGGGATAAACAGAGCCAAAAAACAAAGTGTCTCTGTTTTTTAAGAACTTACGGAGCACTTGCTCTGCAGAGAACCTCCTGTAGACATCCTTACACAGCATCCTCCTCAGCAAATCCTTAGCCTTAGGCGAAACCGACAGGAAAACCCTCGGCGGGAAGCTGTGATTCGCCCTCAACACGGCGTCGAAGATCTCCACCGCCATCTCCCCGTAAAACGGCGGGCGCCCGGCGAGCATTATGTACAAAACCACACCAGCGCTCCACACATCCACTTTCTCCCCGTACTCCCACCCAGACAAGACCTCCGGCGCGACGTAGTACGACGTCCCCACAATTCCGGTCGCCGCCTCGCCCCCGACCACCACCTCCGCCGACCCGATATCCGCCAATTTCACCAAATTCCACGAATCGAACAGCACGTTGTCGGGCTTGTTGTCCCCGTGAATCACCCCCTTCCTATGGCAGTGGGAGACGGCCGTCATAAATTGGGCGAGAATGGATCTGGCTTCATTCTCCGCAAAGACTCCGCCGTTGGCGAGAATAAGGGCGTGGAGGTCGGAGTTGGGGCAGAGATCCATCACCATGGAGGTGGGAATCGTCCTCGTAGGTTGCGTGGAGCTGGACGAGGTGAGGGTGCGGCGAGACGAGGCCCAGGACCTTGGGCTCGGTGAGGAGGCACTGGGCGTCGAGGGAGTCGCCGGCGGTGAGGGACTTGTCGATCGATTTGACCGCGAAGGAGTCGCCGGAGGAGCCGGAGATGTACTTGAAGGCGGCTCGGGATGGAGAAGGGGAATGTGCTGAAGGGTTTTAGAAATTAGGTTTTGTTTAGTGCTGGGTGGGTCATTTTTGTTGGTGGGTTGGGTCGGTTCTGGTTTGGTTAGAGGTTTGGTTTGGTGTAGCTGACATGGAGGGTTTAAATGACGTGGCGGGTTGGGTCAGTCAATTTTCCGGTTAAAAGGTGCTGATTAGGCAAATCCGTCAGCCACGTCATCACTTAACGGACGCTGTTAACGGCGTTGGACGGCAGCTAACGGAGAGTGACCATGAATGAATGGTTTTTGTAAAGTTAATGACCAAAAATGGATTTAAAAATTTCGAGTGACCAAACATGAACGTTTTTTATAATCTCAGTGACCAACCATGCAATTAACCCGTATTTTTTTTGAACAACATGTAAGAGTGGGTCGACCCGCTCCGTACCCGCACGGGTTTTACCCGCCCCGACCCGTAGTAACGTGGGACGGAACATGGGAATTGAGATACCCGCCCCGCCCCGCCCCATTCACATCACTACTTACTGTTACTCAACAAATCGATCAAGAAAGCAAATGATTCGCTACTGATCCCATGGCATGCAGTATCCCTCTACCGTATACTTTTAGTTAACACAAATGAATGCATTGAATTCACAGTTAGCGCTGCGCTAAGCTGCCCCCATTATTTTCTTTTCTTTTCATGCGTTTCTCTTTTCATCTAAGAGCAAATTTTGGAAAACACCACGCCAATATTATTTAACCATTATTTCCACACACATAAAAAGAAAACAAAGGTAAGAATTAGAATTACAACTAACAAGCTAAGCTATTCCATTCCCTTGAAGATATATACAGCGTTGCGTGTGGGTTGGGCCGATGAACTTCTTGAATATTTATTTCATAAAACTATCATTCCTTGTTTGGACCAAGGGGTATATCATATTGCATCGGATTTGGGCGGCTTGTCTTGTTTTCTGCCAAATGCAAGGCAAAATTCAGCTAGCTGCCTAGAAACACCCTTGTGGGGAGAGCTTTGTTTTGTAGGCGTGAGGGAGTGAGTATATATGAGTTAGGTGAGTGTTTGGTTGGAAAAATTGGGAATGTCTTGTTCAGGGAAACTGATCACCTGTCAAGAAGGAGAATTAAAATAGAAATCATCCAAAAACAACAACAACAACAAGATCATCTTCTTCGTCTGTTTGAACCACACAAGTGGCTCAACTACATACACATACACACACCTTTTTTCTTCTTCTTCTTGGGGACAATTGAATAAAGAATTGTAGAAGGGGAAATCTGGCAAGAAATGCTAACAATCTAGCTAACTAGCTTTAGAAGCTGTTATGATGGCGCAAGCTACATCGCGGGAATAAAGTCATCAGCAAGGCAGCGTTAATATTCTCCCCGCATATCAGGCAAATATGTTGCAGCAGTGGCAAAGCCACCTCAATTTGCAAATTTTTTTCGTTATAAAACGCCTAATAATTTTGAGGATCAAATAGAACATTTGTTATTAGTACATTTTGGTCTTCTCTACTTGCCTCTAAAATTCTCGAGTTTCTTAAACTTTATTTTCCTGCCCCCTAACTTCCATTTCTGGGCTCGTGGTGAGATTATTATTATATTACAAAAAATAATCATATATATTGATTTGAACAAAATATCATTGCATCCTGGAATTTAATAAGGTCGGAAAATTAAAAAAAAAACGACACCGAGTACGTTTCTAGCCACCAAATGAACTATCTTATTATTACTCTGACCTACAAAACGCACACTAAGACAATTGTGAATATTAAACATTTAAAACTTTTAGTTTTTTCATATTTCTATAGTATAACTGTATACTGTACTCTAATTATTTTTAATAAAGATATTCATATTTGAAATTATGAATTAAATCGAGTTTGGAACTTGTAACTTTTTCATATATATCAACCGGTACGATTTGTATTCCTTTCATGAGGAGGACTGGAGGAGGAAGAAGAAGAATAAATTATGTGCACCAAAGCCGGCCTGTTGATATGCTATAGGGTCCACGAGGCTCTACTAAACAATAAGCCCGTTTCCACAATCACCGGAATGCATTGGACTTCTTGGCCCAACTGCCAGGCAATGAACCATCTCCATTCTCCACCATACCGATCGATTTATTATAGAACGATGGCTTGGCCGTGTGCTATGATTAATTCTTCTGATTTATTATTAAAAATAATTAGACCAAATTAAATAACAAGAACAGGATTGTCTAGTTTTCACTTTTCAGTTAGCAGAAGAATATCTGAATATGATGGTTCAATAGTTGACAGATGATTTCATACAATGATTTTTTTTAATGGTAAAGTGTGATATAAACTAGTAAAGTAAAATTCAAAGGTTCCTAAATCAAGTTCGGACTTCAACTTGACAAGAAATTTGATAGAGTTTTAATCAATTGGATTGGTAAAGATAACGTTAATGTGAAATTTGTCTACTTATTTATTTCATTTATCTGACTCATGGGAATATAAATTTTCACCATTTAGACATCTTCTACTCCATGCTATCACATTAAGTACACCAATAGTATCATTTTCGGAAAATTCTTGACATGTCATCCAATGAGTTATGGCGAAATCAGTTCAGATACTATTAGATTACCGAAGAATGTTGTAAATTTGAATCTAGTGACCTCCTATTATTGCTTTTTTTTTAGCTAACAATACCAAACGAACTATTGTTGGTCTAATGAGTTAGTAGGGGTTTGCTGCACCCTCCAAAAAAATTGTATTTCATCATCTCCATAGTACAGTGACGGAATCGTGACTTGAAATTATCCATGTTTTTCTTAAAAATATAAATAAGTATTTAGCGTATATAGAACAAATAACTGTTTATTTTTTTCAGATATGGCAAGGTACCTTTATATCACCTTAAAATGACGAGATTGATACTTTGCATATTCACGAATTGAAATTTATTATTTGTACCAAAACCTACTTGTATTTATAATAAACCCTGCTTCCAGCACTGCAGCAGTTCATCAAGGTCACGCACTCCACCATTATACCTTAAGTTACATTCAACTTTAATTTTGTCGGTGGAAAAGCATATGAAACGCCTCGCATATATGTACTGAGCTCAACGTGAAACCTGCACTTCAGAGAGCTTACTTAGCACACCTAATCCATTTGAATTTTATTTGTTTAACTTCTTGTCTTACAAATCATGTGAACTAAAAAAAAATGGAAATTCAGATATTGTCTATCATATATCACGGAATAGGATGCTCCTGAGAAGTTTTAGATTTTTAATTATTATTAGCACTAAAATCCTAAAAAGATATGACTTATATTATATATAACTAAAATATGTGAGGGGTAAGATCATAATGTACCCACGTATGTGTACTACGTGCAGATACTATATTATTGTGTCCTCCTTGTCTCTCATAAAATGGATATACAAATAGAACTTTCTCCCCATCCAAAATCGTTTAGTTTGATGAATCGATAAAGTTCTTAATTTATAATTGAATGGATAATTTTTTTATAAATGATTGGTTAAATTATTTATAAAACAGTTGATACACAACATAAAATACAAGAGATATGTATATATAACACGCTAATTTATGGCTCAATTTAACCCCAGTAAAAAATTATTCCAAATGAATATCATCCATCACCAAAAAAAAATTAACAAAAAAACATTCACAATAGTCTTCAAAATAATAAACCATACAAAATTTATAAAATCCCAAATGCGTAATTGCTAATTGAGGTTATTGATCGTGTAAATCCAATAAGAAGGCTATGAACAAAATAATTAGATGGTCTCTATTCAAACTAGTTTTTTTCTTAAACTTTCTTGTTTCTGATTAAAATAGTAAATCGGACAAATCAAATCGTCGGCTGATCAATCCATTTCTTATAACAAGGACAATCTCCACTCACTAATGCTAATTAATGACATAAAAAGATGATGCCTTTGATGGGCGACCGGCTCAAAGGATGAATCTCATAAACTGAAAGGAGCCAAGAAGAAAGGTAGTGGGTGAAGACCAGACTGCAGAGGGAGGGAGGGAACGATTAATTTATAAGTTCACTATTAGCGTTAATGGGGTGTGTAACATTTAATTAATTGGGAATTTAATTAGTTGAACAAGTGAGTAATTAATGAATGACTGAGGTCTGAGAGGTCGGTCACGTGACCCTCCACGGTTCTGATTCGAGCCCAAACTCCCAAACACAGTAGTTAATGGGCACATGTGCCCCTCCCAAAGGCATACAAAATATCAGCAAGGCTCTATCCAATATCCATTGCCTTTGCTGTTCATCATCTCCAAAGCACAAACCTGCTCACATAATAAGAAATAAAATTATCGGACCCAATTAATAAACAGTCCAGAGATTAATAGTTATTATCATAATTAAGTGTAGAAAGCAAAATCAACGGTGCAGCTTATACTGTACTTGTCCAACCGTGTTTTTTTTTTATCAATGAAAGAGTGATTTTGTTCCTCTCCTTTCAGTTGAGTATATTGCTTTAACTTCTTTTTATACGTCTAAATCGTATAACCATTTCATAGAAGTTAATAAACACGTTTGTATATCTAGCAAGCTTGTTTGGCCTATAATTTTTATAATATAACAAATGTTCTCTTTCGAGAGAACATTGTTAATGAACAAATTAATCTCAAGTTCCCAACCATATTCTACTCGAATGACCCATACTTCTGCATCCCCATTCTCAAAATAGCCCTAATACCATGAAAGCAGCCAAGCTTACCCCAAACAAGGGTAAGTAATGTCGTCAATCAAATTGCTCATTTCTTCAAGCTCCATGACATGAAAGTCAAAGCCAATTACGATTTTAATTTACTTCCTTGCCCGTGGTCATATCAAAAGGGTTTGATGTCGAGTTGGAGATATCATTTTTCTAGTAGAATACAAACTAGCTCCGTCTCATCCAAGTCGGTAGTCGAATTACGCAATCAACGAGGGAAATTTATGTACACATTAACTCTTTCCGCGCACTCTTTTGCT